CGCAGTCGCGATTTTCCCGAGCCACTGCCTTTAAGCAAACTGTATATGCGATGACCCTATTTATTGACATGTATTTACAGAAATTTGCCCGACCAATTTCGGTTCGGGGAAAGAGCAGAACTCCGAGATAAGAGATTATATAGTGCAAAAAGGTGACCCCAACGAAGTTGCGAACACAAGCGTTCCTTCTTAGCGCCGTTTTCGATGGAAATACTTTGATTATTTTTGGGGCTCGAGTCATAGCTTTCAAGTTTGTGTTCAACAAGTCTATTGGTTTGCAAGAACTCCAAAGATCGATCGGTTTTGCCAGACAGGCATTTGAATCCTTTTGGCGCTCGACCCTTTGATTCAATGGAATAGGCGGCTAGAAGGGAGACCGCTCGTACCCGCGCCGCATCTGCATCCCTCGCGCATGCTCTCTGATCGCTCTCCCTTAAGTAAGTCACGAGACCCCGACTACCAGCCGCCTATCTGGTTGAAACAAAGGATAGAGTGTGCCATGTAAAATTGTGGCTCATAACCTCAACTGTAACTTGCTCGATGAATGTTGTGACAGAAGATTTTCTCACATGCACAGTTTTATCCCCGTGTTACGGGTAGGGAAACGGACACCGTACCGCCTCCGCGGACTGCTGGTCCTCAAACGACATGCAACAACATTGCCAAAAGTACGATTGGCCGCTGCGCAAAATGCTGTCTTCCTCTCATGAATCTTTATTAAGAAGCTTGCTTGTAAATAAAAAAAACTTTCAACCAGTCGATGCATGACAAACATGACAATGACAATAATAAGCAGTAAGAAATACTGTGACTTTGGCTGCAACAGGGAGTGGTGCGAATGACCCGTGATAAATTTGAAGCAATACCTAAGCGAGGGTTTATTTATGAAAATTACGATAGCTGATACTCCTGACATACTTGCTAGAACCTATCTCACGTAGCGAAAAAAAAACACTGCAAAATGAATGGTCAAACTGTCCTTTGAAGGAGTGGGAATCTTCCTACTTGCAAAGAAAATTCTTCATTTCTTGCGCAAATGGCAAAAACCGTGTTCTCCTCTTCAAACACTCTCATGGTATGTGTTCATCTGAAGTCACGAAACCAAACAAAGCCAACTAGGGTTGTGGCCTAACATCTGGCAGTTTTTCATAGATGTTCTCGTCGGGTGTATTCTCAGACTTTCCCACATCAGGTGGAACGTCATAAATAGGTTCGTAATCGAATGAATAGAGCAGTTGGGAGGGAGTTGGTGAAGCAGAAAAGACTGGCAGTTGTGGGCGGATTAATGGCCGGCCTGAAATAAGCTTCTTAAAATTATATCAGAATAGTGAAACAATAAAAAATTTACTGATTGGCATGGTTGTAAAATGTTGTCCAACTGGTAGTGGTTTCAAGGAGATTAGATGAGGTGGTAATTCCATTTTTGACAAATGAGGTGGTAGTTCCATTTTCGTCAGAGGAGCACTTGGCGCATAATAGACAACCGAATCAGGGCGATTGGGTATCATCGAAGGAATTGCATAGATCACATTAGGAGCTCCATAATGTTGAGAGGGCTGGAAAGTTCTTATAAGTAACTGCTAGCGGTGACCGAAAGAGAAACTGTACCTTATCGTTGATCGGAACGCTTCTACTCGTTTTGGAAAACTTCAAAACGGCGAAAACTAGCAATAAACCTAAGATTACAACTAGAGCAGCCAAACCAGCATGATTCTCGCTTGATTCAGATTTTAGCTCGCGAAGTGTGGCCACATCTAAATTCAATTTCGATTATTCATATAG